TCTATCATTACCAGTTCCTGTCAATGAGTAGGGTCTATCTTCCAAAATCCAACTGGAGTACTACCTGCTTTGGGCAAAGCATGGGCATATGAATTAGAGGAGAGATCAGAAACCAGATGCTGCAGAGAATATCATTTAATCTCTCTAGACTTTTGTTCGGCATATATGAAATATGGACCTCTTCTAGATATCTCTTCCAGATCTTATAAGGTGATGCTTCCCTCTCAAAGCAGTGTAGTAAGAAATTGGGCAGCTAGAAAGTGACTTGCTCTGTTTTCCAGGACCAGTTTAACTAATTATGCAGGCTGGGAGGAGCTGGATGCCTAGTAACTACTGGGAAAGCAAGAGGAAAACACAGCCAAGTCTGCCACCCCTAGGGAATTAAATTCATTTCGAACTGTTGGGAGTGGGGAGAGGGGGAAGAATGCATTTACCCTCCAGCTTTCTCAGGTAACCCACACCTCAGCCTCTAGTAAAGTGAACTCTCCTCTGCCACTAGTGGGGTGAGCTCCTCAGCTCTCACTGTTACCCTCACCCCCACAAGAATAAAGAAACAAGTGCCTTTGGATAGAAAATGCTCATTTCAACTAGTTTCTAAAAGCAAAAACAGGTGTCTAAGGGGTCTGAATCTGTTAAGTTCCAAGGGGGAAAATACTACTGAACAGGATTGTAATTTGTGGTTTGTGAATACTACTTCTTGCTTCCATTTTGTCTCCATCAATCCTCTTATGGGTTTTTGGTCAGCCTTAGTACTGATGGGGTATGGGCCCAAGCCGAGACCTTTGCCCCTTTCTCCAAAAAGAATTTGGCTCCCATTTGTCTATGGGTCCCAGAAAATCCTTATACTTCTTTCAACTGGCCTTTCCTAATATTTTATTCTTATTCTGATCTTTCTCTATCTCTCTAAGAAATCCTAAGGAAGGAGCCTAGTCTTTGATCCCACCTTTGATCTTATCAACCTCTTCCTTCCACTATAGTCCTTCATTGTCTATTCCCAGGTGAACCTATCCAGACACTCCCATTCTCCCTAAACGCCTCCTCCAGTCACCCAGATCCTCTTCCCAGCCCCTCCTCTGGTCACCCAAAATTACTTGAGTGTATATAAGATCCACCCTAGCCCCCATTTAAACGCTGAGATTTTCTCATGCCCACTCATCCTTATGGGCGTCACTAGTGTTCAGATTCCTTAAGAGTCTGACCTGTATGGTTTATTTCTAATAAACTTTTTCTCTGGCTGAAAGAAGATTTGGGTTGAATTCATTCAGGCAGGGCGCATGTGTCATGATCTCAAGGTCCCAGCACCCCTAAACCTCTAGACTTCATCAGTACCTCCAGCTAAAAAATCCATCAAGGGTGGAAAATGCCTCCACAAAAGTTGTTGTTCATCCTTCATTTTTGAAGAGGACCAATGACATCCCTGTGATGTCTTGACTTGCACATGAATTGGATTTAAGTGAGGCAGAGGTGCCCAGTCATCAGATTCCCTCTCTCTTCCAGAGTCACTGAAGTCCACTGAAAGACCAAAGTCAAGACCACTGGCGATGGAAGTGACTAACAAAGCAAAGAAAGAGGAGGAGTTACCCATCCTGGTTCTGACATCCTCCTTCTTTTGCCTTCTTTCTTTTTTTCAATACTCTTCTTTCTAGACAACATTGGACCAAAGTCACATGACTATTTTAGTTGGTTTATATGAAAAGTGGTTTTCAAAAGGTTACTATTCTGCTGTGATTCACTAAAAGGTTGCTCCATTTCTTCTTGGAGATAACTGATAATTGATGCTAATGCATGGTGAACTATCCCTTTCTTGCTCGTAAAGCACTCCATTTCCTTTAAAAAAGAAAAAACAAAGAGACAAGCCTCTTTTCCTATATATGAACAACCTCTTGCTAAAGTCATACTCTGAGAGACAAGGTCGTACTGAGGAAAGAGCACAGGTCTTGGAATCAAAGAACCTTAACTTAAATTTCAGCTCTGTCATTTATTTGTGACCTTAGGCCAAGTACTTAATCTCTCTGGACTTTGGATTCTCATCCAGAAAATATGGTCATTTTATAGATGTCCCTTCCAGCTATAGAGGGGCTCCTAGGTGGTGCAGTGGGTAGAGTGCTGAACCTGGAGTCAAGAAGACTCATCTTCCTGAGTTCAGATCTGACCTCAAACACTTACTATTTATGTGACCTTGGGCAAGTCACTTAGCCCTGTTTGCCTCAGTTTCCTCATATGTAAAATGATCTGGAGAAGGAAATGGCAAACCACTCCTGTATCTTTGCCAAGAAAATTCCAAATGTGTTCACAAAGAGTTGGGCATGACTGAAACAACCCCACAACAATGAATTCCAGTTATAGATCCTATGAGGTGATGCTCCTTTCTCAAAAACTTATAGCAATGGAGTGAGAAATTGGGTAGGTCCTATCAAGCTGGAAAATAACTTGCTTTGTGTTCTAGGATCAGCTTAACTAAGTGTGTAAGGGCTCATTTGGAAAAGATGGGTAGTAAATTTTTTTTTTTTTTACTTCTGTGACCCAGGAGAAATTGTAAAGGAGTGTGATTTGAATTGTCATTCAAAACATGACATACATGAACAGAAAAGCAATTCTAATAGTAAAGTTGGTCACATTTAATCACTGACATCACAGCAAAACATGAAATTGAGGCTAAGAGAAAATGGTCCCTAAATTATTAATCAGGACAATATTTTCTTTTTTGTCCTTTTTTTGGAGGCAATTAGAGCTAAGTGACTTGTCCAGGGTCACACAGCTAGTAAGTTACTGAGGCTGGATTTGAACTCAGGTCCTTCTTACTCCAGGGTCAGTGCTCTATACACTGTACCACCTACTCAGCATTTTCTAACTTTTCTTATCACCTGTGAATGGATTCCTGAGAAAAGCTTATATAGAACCCAGATCCTGTGATAGGCAATGTAATGTTAAATGGAACTAAAAGATGAGCTCCTTGAGGACAGAGATTGTTTCTTGTCTTTGTTGCCTCTATTACATAGACAGTGATGGGCCCATAGGAGGTGATTAACAAATATAGGCCAATAAATATTTATTGAGCACCTACTATAGGCCAGACACAATGCTAAGTCCTGGGAATACAAAAAGACACAAAAATGCTCTCTGCTCAAAAGGAGCTCACAATCTAATAGTTAAATTGAGTTGAGTTGAATTGAATTGAAATGAAAAGACTTGGGATCCAGCTAATACTTACTGTTTACCTGGAATAATTTTCTAAACCTTAGGTTTCTCATCTATAAAATGGGGCTAGAAGTACTTTCACTACTTTACAAGGTTGATAAGAAGAAAGTATTTTGCAAAGCACCATAGACATGAGAGGTACTATTAGCCAGTAAAGGCTATAATGATTTTTTCCCGCTCACTAATTCATAAAAGATATTTGGGGAGGCTTCCCTCACAAGTATTGGGGCACATATTCAGGCACTAGCAAATGAAAAGCAGGAATAAAGAAGGGATAAAACAAAAAGATAATGTTTTGCAGCAGGCCAGGAAGGTCAAAAGATTAGGTTCTCATCGATTCGGAAAAAGGAGGAAATTTCAGTTCTTCTATAGACACGTGTGTTCATACTGCTCAGCTATACAGAGAAGGTGAAGACACTTTGCACTGGAGAGCAATGAAATGTTTCCCACAAGTCCCAGCCCCTTCCAGATGTCAGGGGAACTCTTTTGTGTTCTGTTCTCTTAGAGAAGTCAGTAGATGTTCTGCACGTGGAAGAAATCCTGCAGTTCCCACACCCACCCCATACTCCCAATATGCACACATGTTTAAAACGCTTGTACAGTTCATTTTTTGAGTCATAAAAAGATCTAGGAAGTAGTATGAATCCACATTTTGCCCCCCCCAAAAAAAACAAGGGTCAATTCAGTAAGACCACACTTTCAAAATAACTCTACTATGTAATTCCAATCTGACTTTCATCCTGACACTAGATTGAAACAGCTCTCTTAAATCTAATCAATGACCTCTAACCACTAAATGCCAATGACCTTTTGTCAGTCTTCTTCCCTTATGGTCTCTGTGGCTTTGTATACTGCCAGTCTGTCTGTTCTGCATAGTTTCATTGCCTGGTTTTTGTGACACTAAACTTTCTGGAATCCAGATATTGGCATTTACGTTGAGTAAATCGCTTAATCTCTCTGAGCCTCAGTTTGCTCCTCTATAAAATGAATTTTTTTTAAAGAAAGTCAAATACCTAAACACATGGTTACTATTGAACACTAGCATAGCACAGTAGGGAGAGAGCTGGCTTCAGAATAAGGAAACTCTAGCTTCAGATAGTGGTTCTGTGACCCTGGGCAAGTCATATAACCTCTCATTGCCCTCAGAAAACTCTCCAAGACTTTAAACTTCAAAGCTGGTATAGATTTTCATTGATAGAAGGAATTCCTTGCCAGGAGCTCACTATTTCAATAAAAACACATCTGGTTTTTTAAAAAATTTGCTATCATTCCATTTCTCCTGCCTTATCTAATTTTTCTGCCTTTCTCACTGATCCCTCTTTCTGGCATTCCTTAGGATTCTATAGATCTAGACCTTTTCTTTCTCTATACTTTTTAAAAAAAAGTTTTCTGGATTTTTTTTTACAGTTATTGCTTTCCAATTACCACTCCCCTATAAAGTTTTTTTTTCCTATAGCAATGAAATTTTTTTTAAAAATACCAATATGTTGGCTATCTGAAACTTTTGTATCATTCAGTACCTATATTTCATCATCATTGTGACAGAAGGAAAGTGTGTTTCTCTGTGAGTTCTCTGAAGTCAAAATTAGTCATTTCATTGATCAGAGTTCTGATGACTTTCAACATTCTTTTATTTTACTGTAATTGTCACCTAAATTGTTGTCCCGGTTCTGCTTGATTTGTACTATAACAGTTCATATAAATCTTTCCAAGTTTCTATGAATTCTTCATATTAACAATTTCTTATGGCACAGATATTTTATTATACAGATATAAATAAATGAATGAATGAATGAAAAAGCATTTATAAAGTGTTCACAATGTATCAAGGTACTGTGCTGAGGGATGGTGACGTAAATACAAAAACAAAGATCGTCCCTTCCCTCAAGGAGTAGTCTCACCAATTCTGACAGTTTGGATTCAGATGGGATTTCCAAAACTCCTTCAAGTCACAGTTGCTGAATCATAGTTGAGTTGGAATCAACATCAGTAGAGGAGATTCTCTATGCTGATGAAATCACACATCCTGAGTAATGAAATATAGTAGATATTAATAAAGTAAGATCTAAGACCCACATTCATGTCACCAAGATTAATCTGAAAAAATTCATATTATACTTTAATATTAGCTAAAGTTTAATAGTCTACCTATGAAATTCCTTCATTTTTGAAAGATAAATTTAATAGTCTAATAATGGAGCTTTTTTAGTAAAATATAATTCACTTTATTCTGCAGCACTGGGGAAGGTGAGTAAGAGAAAGAGAGAACTGTTGCAAGGAGGAAGAAAGAAGTTTTGCCACATAGAATCCCAGGCTCTCAGAGTTCATCAATTCTAACACACTTGAACAAGAATACATTTTACAACATACTTCACAAACGACCCTTCCGTTTTTGCTTAAAGAACTCTACTGAAGTGGAACCTACAACCTCCCCTCCTGAGGGATCCCATTCCACTTTTGGACAGCTTTCCTGTTATCTACTGTTGAGGTAGTAGAAGAAAAACCCTTTCTCCTTCATGGACACTGGTACCTAGAAAATGGTACAATATGGTAGCTTCCTGCACAAAGCTGAGTTGGGCAGCTTTGAAAAGGAGCACGTGATGGAAGGACCAGGAGTCAGAGAAAAGCAAAACAACATTGACAATATTCTTATCAAATGGCCAAGTGGATTTGCAAAGGAGAAAGCCTATGCTTGATTGCTTGCATTCAGGCTGCCTATAGATTTGGTGAGCTATGATTCAAAGTGACAACTCTTCTGATTACTGGGAGAAGGACAAGACGAGAGAGGGGTTCATTTCATCTCACCATACAACAGGGCATAGAAGAGCATTCCTTTCATCTCCATGGTAAGAATACTGCTGAACATCTTGTAGACCTTAAGCTGGGCAAGGGCCTTCCACTTGAAAATAAAATGTATGGAAAGTAAAAACATAATCATTCATTATAATTAGATGTAGTCCTGGAATGTACAAGAATAATAATGGGATGAGGAAAGAAAATCCATGACTTTATTCATTCTATTTCCTGAGAAACTTCCCTGTATTTCATAGAGTTCAGGCCATAAAAACACTATTAGTTTTCCTGGGAAACTTATTTGCTAACAAGTCGACTGGTATCTGGCAGCTGTTTTGTTCAATTCAATCAACCACAAAGTTGATAAAGTAAAGTTGCCCAAATCAGTGTCTCCTGTATATGAAGAACTTCATAGCTCGAAAATTGTTTCCAGGAACAATAATATCAAGAGTTCAGCAAGCACCACCAAGTAGCAGAAAACATGAGGCTCAAAGGGCAGGACAAGTGACTATTTGCTATGTCTTTCCTCTTTCCTATCCCTCCCCTCCCCCAACACTCTACAAATACATATATCTATTTAATTTCTTGCCTAAATGTACCTGTTCTCATGGACAGAGAGGTGGGATCCATTTGCAATTGGGAATCAATAAAATGCTACATTCTTGTTAATCATAAACTAGTCTGAAGAACTGTTTGCCAAGCTAATGTTGCAGAGAAATGTCGCATGTTAAATGATAAAAACCCTGGAAACCACAAGAGAGCTGTGGTCCAGTGTCTGTGTCTATCTTTAATATTCCCTATCTGAGCAGGAAAGGTCAGTGTATTTTTCAGCACAATTTTCTCATTTGGGTCTTTGCACAGACTAAAAGGACACACCGTGGATCATTACCATTGACAAAAAGGACTTCATTTAAACATGCTTTAAGTTTTACAAAAGACCATGAGAAAGACAAAAAACAAATCTTGTGCAGAGGATTATATTCACACTTTGGGAAGAGGAGAAGAATCTGTGATTGTTTTCGTAAAGGGAAACTTCCTCCAAAGAACACGTGGCAACCTATCTTACTTAATAGATAAGTTCTAGTTTAGAGCTAGGCATTCCCTAGGCTAGGGAATCTTTTGAAGCACTTGAGATTAAGCAACTTGCCCAGAATCACACATGTAGTGTCAGAGGCAAATTCCAACCCAGGTCTTCAAGAACAGTGGAACTTGAATTTGAGGACCCAGGTTCAAATCCCAGATCTGCCTATTACTTCCTGTGTAACCTAGGTTTTTCATTCCCCCCCCCCCAAGCCTCAATTTCCTTATATGTATACAATGAGGTAGGTTGGACAAGAGGACCTATAAGATCCCTTCCAACTCAGAGTACAGTGCCTGGCACACAGTAGGCACTTAATAAATGTTTATTGATTGATTTGTGAATTTAGTCCTATCTACTTAGGTAGGAGTTTGTGATATCATGAAGTTAGTCCTATCTACTTAGGTTGGCTTAGTGTGACTTTGGTTTGTATTTTCTGAAATAGATCATGGCCTTCAGGCTGCATGTTTTCTTACCAAGATGTTCAGGTTGGAATCAGAGGACCTAAATTTGAATACTGGAGCACTTCATATGTGAGCTTAGGAAAGAGAGAATCCTATTTCTGAACTCAGAAGAATCTGAGTTCAACTTTCACCTCTGATATTAACTACCTGTGTGACCTTGATCAAGTCACTTATTCGCTGTGGGCCTCAGTTTCCATATCTGTAAAATGAAGAGACTGGACTAGATGGTCTTTAAGTTCCTTTCCACCTTTTGATTGGTGATTTTATGTCCATTCTGGGCCTCAGTTTCCTCAACTGTAAAAAAAAGAGGTTGTACTAGACGACTCCTAAGATTCCTTCCAGCTCCAAATGTAAAATGTATAAATAACCCTGACTCCAATGCCAACATTTAATCCACTATGTTATGCTGCCTCTAAAATAATAATAATAATAATAATAATAATAATTTTTAAAAATGGGCATGTTTTCACATATATAGTATAAAAGAAATGCTAATATCTGAACATGGGAAGGCAACATTGTGAGGGCAAACATGTCAGAGGTATCTCAGAGTACCTGTAAAGTTTTCTTAAATGACTAATTAATAAAAGAAAAATAGAACAACAAGGAGAAGAAAGGACCCAGGATCTAACACAAAGCATTTCTAAATCCTTTGGGGCACTTACATGATATCCAGCAGTCTGAGGGAAAGTAAAGAGGCTTTGTCAAAAATAATCCATCTATTATAAAAGTGTCTTGGTGCCCTCAAGGTCTTGTTTCAGTTAGGTACACTGTACACATAATTATCATTAGTAAGCATTTATGTAACACTTTATATTTCAAGGTGCATTCCACCTATTAATCAGTGATCACACAGCACAATCACTCTCTATGATGGCCCTCCTTGGAGGAAAAGAAATTGAGTTGCCTTTGCTCCTTCTCCTTCCTACTAAACCTGCCAGTCAGTGTTAGTTTTTTTTTTCTTTTTGCTTTGGAACTCCAGGCTTATATAACTCAGACCTGGACCTAGTAGCCTGGGTCACACTGCCTGCATAATAGAGCCCATAAAAATCCATTTTATGTGCAGGGACTAGTTAGAAAAATATATGACCTTTCAAATTATATCACCATTTTCCACATAAAAGCCTGGGCCAAGCTCTTAATTCATGTGACCTTTGGAAGTCATAAAATCCTTTCACTAAGAGAGTTGATTTAGATTTGATTAGGGGCTTGATCCCTCAGCCCCAGAGTACTGTGGGAACCAGCCGCACACAGAACAACCTGGCAAGACAGAAGATCTGAGTCGACTCAGAACTAAGGAAGCCTGGCAATACCCAGAACATCTCCTAGCTGGGCCCTTGGCTTGCTAAGTGACAGGGCTGGTTATTTGGTTTCCTGGTTTAACCTTTATCTAAGCCTTGTAAACCAAAACAAACATTAAGACTTGCCATTCACCACCACAAGGGAAAAGGGGTGAGGGGTGGTGTTTCAAGAAAGTAAACCATAGAGAAGTATGCAAATAAAAAGTTCTGTCACTAAGAATGAAAAAAAAATAATAATGCTGAATAGGAATTTTTTTCCTATTTAAAAATAACCCACATACAAGTTCTCTCAATCAATAAGGCAACCTAATGTTATCTTCATATTATGTTTGTTTTCTTGTGTACTTCAGTGGATCTGGGTTTTTATCAGTGTTCATGGTTCAGGTCAGAAGCCATTAGCCTACATTGTATGCTCCTTGAAAGCAGGGATTGTTTTGGGTTTTGCCTGCAAATCTCCAAAACCTAGTAGTGCTGGGCACGCAGCTAAGTACCTAATAAATGTTTATCCACCAAGTCATTCTCATCCTGTGTGACTCCTTTATACATCCTCCTCCATGAGGGTGGGGAGTTCTGTCCAATTTGCTTTGTAGCTTCCTCTAAGCCTCTTGATGTTATGTGAGAACTAGGACAGCACCTATCGTTCTTTGTCCAACTTATATCCCAAATACCTATTGGGGGCCTGACACGTAGCAGATGCTCAATAAAGGTCTGTTGACTGAATGCTTGATTTCTCCACCAACAGCCAACTTCCTTTTCCAGTCATGCATCTCTTTGATGGTAGTTTGTATGCTATTTTGCCTCACGATTGGTGACATGGTGCTTTGGCAATATTGTATTGGCAGCAGTACGTGATAAATAGAATGTTTGGCATTAGGAAAACCTGGGTTCAACTTCCTCCCTTGTCCCTTATTAGCCGTGTGGCCATGGACAGTCAATTTCTTTAGATCTCAGACAATTATCGAAACCTCATCACCCATGAAAGATAAGTTGCAATGCATGCAACTTTTAATACCTACCATGTTTCCTTTCATGGCCCTTTGAGTGTCCTGAAATTTTTATTTTGGGGGGCCAGTACAATGGAAAGAGTACTTTCAAATCCCACCTAACACTAACTTTCTATGTGTCCTTAGTCAAGTCACCCAATCCTCTTAATGTCTTTTTTTGTAGAATGAAGGAGTTGAAATAGATCTCTGAGGCCCTTTCCAGCTCTGGATCCATGATCCTATGAACAAAAGAGATTATTGTATTCCATGATTTGTGGACAGATGGTTTCACTAGAAGAATATTGGTATAAAAAAAGATAGGTTTCCATTTCAGAGAGAAGCTGGGATTTGTTGAAAGCCCTGTGCAATCTAAATGTTCTTCTATACTACAAAACTATCATTTCACCCTCCTTAAATTTCACAACTTTGAGAGTGCCCTAAGATAAATGAATGTCATTTCACATTTTTAACCATGTAGAGCCAACACCTGTGCTTTTCTGTCTCCTCATATTTGGATCTCTTGAATTTAGACGATCAGCAGGCAGTGCTGCAAAATGTTGTTTGCAAAAGCTTGTCTGCCACATTCATCAGGGATCCCTTTGGTATATATGTAGATCATTTTTACACAGATGTTTGAGAAGATAGAAAAGGAAGTACGCGAACTGATTCAATTGGATTTAGACCAACCAGCAACTACCCATGATGCAATAGTCCTATCATCACAGATTTAGATTTAGGAGGGATTTTAGAGGCTATTTAAGTCTAACCCTCTCATTTTATAGTTGAGAAAACTGAGAGAAGGAGTTTATGACCTGCTCATAATTACACAGCTAATAAGTGTCTGAGGCAGGTTTGAACTCAGGTCTTCCCAACTACAAGTTCAGTTTCCCATTTAATATCTTACCTTGTATCTTATGGCACCTAGAATGACCTTAACATTCAACTACTATTTGAAGAATAATAATAATAATAACATCACCTTGAATTAGACCTTAAGTATGCTGAAACTTTAACAGACTACAAATGAGAATTATAGAGTTTTTTCAAGCAAACTTAAGAGGTGACATATTGTATCATCTATAGTAAATAGCAAACTCATATGATCCTGTTTTCTGGACCTGCACCAAACTCTGCTTGATCATCAGGGCAGAGTTTGAGGTTATCAATAGAAAAAAACACATCTTTTTGCCTTTCAAGATACCCCAACAGTATTTTCACAAGTACTGGGAGTTGCCAGGGATAGATTTGAAAAGCCATTTATCTAATGGTTAATGCATGAGCCTCAGTGTCATAGATTTCTAGGAAGCCTTTGACCAAGTTTCCAATTACCCATTATGTCACACACATGCCAGAATCTCACCTGGGAGAGGAAAACAATCTCTATTTCTCTTTCAGTATAACAAAGGCAATATTACAACTTGTCACCCTGCTCACAGGGGCACAATGACCACAACTAGTTAGACAATACTGGCAGGCAACACTATGTGGAATAGTAGAATGTTGGACTTATATGTAGAAATAAGAAGGGAGGGGAAGAGAAAGAAGAGGAGAAGTAGGAAGAGGAGCAATAAGAGAAGGAGGATAAGGAAGAGAAGCAGGGTGAAGAGAAGGAAGAGGAAGAAGAGGAAGAGGAGGAGAAGGAAAAGAGGAGGAAGAAAGAGGAGAAAGAAAAAGAGGATAAGGAGGAGAAAGAAGAGGAGGAAGAGGAGGAAGAGGAGGAGGAGGAGGAGGAGAAGAAGAAGAAGAAGTAGAAGAAGAAGAAGAAGAAGAAGAAGAAGAAGAAGAAGAAGAAGTTTACATAATTCAAATAGAATAAATAACTTACCCATGGTGCAATAATTGTAAGATGTGGGATTTGAATCCCTGTCTTCCTGATTCCAAATCCAGGAACCTGGGTTCTAATCATACCTTTGATATTTCCTAGCTATGTGACCATGCCTCATTTTTTAAAAATTGATAAAATTAGGGTAATAAATGAAAATTATAGCACCTGCCTCACAGGTTTGTTGTAATACTCAAATGAGATAATGCATCTAAAGTGCTTTCCAAAGTTTAGAGTGCTCAATACACATCAGTTATTATCATAAGCTGTTATGATTGGATTAATAAAAGAGATCAGGCAGAAACAAGATGTACTCAGTTAATTAGGTATAACTCCACTTTAACATGTTATATTCCTTTCGCTCTCATAAATGGATTAGAAAAACTATTGGTCAGACTTAGAAGGCAGAAATGAAAGTACAATCTGAAACTACACAACACCTGTAAACAAGAGACTCACACTGAATTCTCGTTAAGACAGATGGAACTCCTTGTGAAGGAAACTCAGAGGAATGCGTCACAGGGTAGGATGGCAGAGAATTATTTACAAAGTTATCAGGAAATAAAGTGGGAGGCACCAAGTTTGAGCGTTACCATTGTTGACAATATTCTCTGAGTCTCACCAACCATCATGTAAGTCTTTTTATGGATACCAGATAAACAACATGCGTCATTTTGCTCTTTTATCTTATCAAAGTGAAGCAGAGACTTGGAATAAATAAGTCCTATTAACTTTCAGCATAATGCAGGTAAATTTCTCTATCCCCTCCAAAAAAAAATATAGTGGAAAGAAATTAAAATATATCCATTATGCAAAGAGATTAAAAAAATAAGCTGGACCATAAAAATATTTGTTGTTTCAAAAGATATTCACTAGTTATTTCCAGAAGAATCAGTGTGGATGTGTGAATCTGTGGAAAGAAGGTGATATCAACTATATACCTATCTGTCTATTACCTGTCAACTAATAACAGCAGTATATTCAAGTTGAAAGCCTTTATATAGCTCAGAAAGTATATGTGGGGATCTGTAGTATTAACTGCTAGATTGAAAACACATTCTCAAGCCCTAGTGTAGTTCTGCCCTCTTCCTTTGTGATCTAGAATGTCAGTCCCAAACCCTGACTCTAATCACCCTAACTGCAGATACTGTTACAGATAGTCTTAGAACATTGGAGATTGTAGCAAGAGTTTAGATGTTGTTGAATAATAATAACGTTATTATCATCCCCATGATATATGAGGAAACCTAGATGACAGAAAAGTTAACTTGCCTGAGCTTCCACAGCTGTTAAGTGTCATATCTGGCAGACCTTAGTTCTTCTGACTTTAAGACCAATGCTCTTTCTCTAGATTCTTATACTCTCCAGTTTATTCATTGGATAGTGACAAATTATTACTTCTATACAATGAATCTGAATATGTTTATCTCCTATTCAAGTATTTTCAATGGCTCCCAATTTCCTCTAAGATAAAATACAAAATCTTCATCTTGGCATTTAAAACTCTCCACAACTCACTCTCATTTGTCTTTCTAGACATTTTGTATCCCTTCCCTTCACACACATTCTGTTCTAATTAAACTATTCCCCATATATGACTTTCTGTCTCCTACTTCCATGCCTTTACCCAGGGGTCCCCCATGATTGGAATGCATGCTCCCCTCACCTCTACCTTGTAAAATCCCTCACTTCCTTTAAGGCACAGATCAAGGTTGAATTAATGGTTTTATGGATTATAGTGGTATATGAAAATAATTGATTAGTTTCTTCTACAAATTTTACTTTCTAGTTTAACAAAATTTTCTATCTTAACAAACAAAAACATGTCTAAATGAGTGACTTATTTGTTTATTTCTTTGTGTGCAATTGAAAATCAACATCCAAACTAGGAAAAGAATCTATGTATCCAAGTAAGATTTATTATAGGATGTTCTTTATAGTCAACTGAGCCCTCAAGAAGGATGGAAATATCTATTATCAGTCAGTAAATATTAGTCAATAAATATATGCCTATGATGTCAGTTAATCATTTGGTCAGTTACTCAACATTTATTAAGGCATTTATTAAATCTTACATCACATTACTAATACATTAAGGTATTTATTAAGAACTTACTATGTGCCAGGATTCTGGGATATTAAAAAAAAAAGCAAAATACAGTTTCTGCCCTCAAAAATCCCAGAGTGTGATTGTAGAGATAATATGTAAATAACTATGTAACTATAAAATATATACAGAATAGTTGGAAGGTAATCTCAGATGGAAGTCATTAGTAGCTAGAGGGATCAGGAAAGGTTTCCTCAAGAAAGTAGGATTTGGACTGAGTTTCAAAAGAAGCCAAGGATGATAAGCATAGGTGAGAAGGCAGAACATTCCAAATATGGGGAACAGTGAGGACAAAGCCATGGAGTCTGGAAATGGAGTGTGAAGAATGGCAAGTAGACCAGTGTTGTTGTTTAGTCGTTTCAGTCATATCCAACTCTTCATGACGCCATTTGGGGTTTTCTTGGCAAAGATACTGGGGTGGTTTGTCATTTCCTTCTTTAGCTCATTTTACAGATGAGGAAACTGAGGCAAACAGGATTGAGTGACTTGCCCAGGGTCACACAGCTAGTAAGTGTTTGAGGCCAGATTTGAAGATGAGTTTTTCTGACTTCAGGCACAGCATTCTATGCTCTGCCCAGTGTAGCTAGATTATAGAATGAGTAGAGGGGAGTAAAGTATAAAGAAATTGGAAAGGTAGACCCAATCAATATTATGAATTGCCTTAAATGCCAGGTATAGGATTTTATATTCAATCCTAACATGGATAGAAAACCACTGGAGTTTATTGAATAGGGGAAGTGATGTGGTCATCCCTGCACTTTAGAAAGACCATTTTTGACAGCTGAGTAGAGGAGAGACTTGGGACAGGGAGACCAACTAAAAGACTATTTAATAGTCTAGGCAAGAAGTGCTGTTGGCCTCAGAGTTGTGGGTGTTTTCAGGGCAAACAGGGGGCATATATGATAAATATTTTATGGATAGAAATGGCAAAATTTGACAACAGATTAGATATGTGAGATGAGTTTGAGTAAGGTTGTTGGTCTGGATGAAAGGGAAGATGATGGTTTCTAATAGTAATAAAGGGTCTGGGAAGAGACAAGGGATTGGGGAGAAAGATTTGAAATGATTATAGGACATCCAGTTCCACTTGTCCAAACGGCAGTTGGGGCTCAGGAGAGAGACTATAGCTGGAAACATAGATCTGGGGATCATCTACATAGAGATAATCATCTGAACCCATGGAAGCTGATGAGATCACCAAGAGAGATATTAGCTTGTGGAAATGCAGCAAACAATAATGACTTCCCAGCTTTCCCTTTTTATATGTGGAAAGTCTCATCTCTGACATGTGTCAATGATGTTTCACCAATTTTCCTTGCCTCCCAAGGATTCTGGGGTACTCACTGGTGGGGAAGAAAAGTGCTATTTATTACTCCCATATCTATATTTTGGGATGTTTGAGCATCATAATTTGTTGAGGAAAATAAGGAAAGTAGGAAGAGGGTCTGACATCCCATGGCCAACTCAAGTTTATTGGTCCTGTTCTAATAAATATAGGGGCCTGCTCTGCTAACTTTGGCTGGGCTCTGAAAAACATTACTCTAAAATTTCCCAGAGCCTCACTTTCTCTCATAAGGGACTCTATTGCAAAACAAAAGCAAAGGTACTTCAGCATGCTCTTGGTCTGAATTTTCAATTTATCTCTTAATCCTCTGAGATAACTGCCATACTCTAAAGTATGCTGTAGGTAAAGTCAGCAAGTTGATAGATACTTAGGACTATTGTTCAGTTCTTTATGTTTCCAGCCATCTTGTACCTATGAAATGGATCTGCAGGCACCACAGATGATAGATAGTTCCTAAGAAAAGGGACTTCCAAAATCAGTTGTTAATCAACTCTGCCTCGTGAAATGACTTTGTATATCTTTTGAGTTTACTTATCTTTGTACAAAGCAGAGGCAGTGTGTCAGAGCGGAAAAAGTCCTGGCCTCAGAAAGATCTGGGTTCAAGTCTTGACTTTGACACAACCTGAGCAAGTCAATTAATTTCTCAGTGCTCTCAGGAAGCTTTCTATAAGTTGTAGAGAAGTTACTGCAATGATAAAGAAAGTTTCTTCATTTGGGAGTTCCCTAAACTAATGAAATCAGAGGTCCAGTCGTTATCCTATGACTATCATGTTGTATCCTCTTAATAGTATATATAAGTTCCTTGAGGACTGGGACAGATTCATTTTGGTTTTTGTATTCCCTGTAGATACTTTGAAAAGTTTATCAAATTGAATGGCTACTGTTGGTAGGTCTATAGTCTTGGTAATCAAATCAATGAGGGATCTGGGCTGAGGGCAAGTTAGGATGAGAGACATGAGTCTATAAGTGCAAGAGAATTGCTAAGAGATTGGATTAGACAGAAATTCTTGCTATGCAAAAAGATTTTTTGCAGGCTCCAGTATTCTTGGAATGGGTAATGAAATTCAATAAATCAAGGCACACGTCTCTAGAATCCTTTCTCCCACATAAGAGTTTATATAGACTGACAACTTTTTTTTATGTGCCACAGAGAACTGAGGTAACCAATTAGTGCCATTCTCTAGATTCATTCTCTTTCTTCTTTTTTGGTGAGGCAATTGGAGTTAAGTGACTTGCCCAGGGTCACACAGCCAGTGAGTGTTATATGTCTGAGGCTGTATTTGAACTCAGGTCCTCCTGCCTCTAGGGCTGGTGCTCTATCCATTGTGCCACCTAGCTGCCGCTTTAGATTCATTCCCTAGGAAGTTCTTCCCCAAATTCAGATTTACATCTTACCAGAGAGGTCATGAGAATGCCTCACAAATTCTAATTCTCTCACCCTCAACGACATACCTTGGCCAGCAGGAAATGAACTGGGATGTTGCCTGCCAAATCATGTCACACATGTTGGAAAATCTGAAAGTTATCTTGTTTACATCTGGAACCCAGGTGCTCAATTTCTATTTTGTTGGGAAAGAGCCACCCTCTAGACAGCATAATCAAAATGTCACTGACCTTTTAGAAGAGATCCCATTAGGAAAA